CATGGTACATAAACCTGGAAAAACCTTCACATTACCAGATGCTTTATCCAGAAGACCCATCAGCAATGATGAGGAGGAATTCTACGAAGACGCAGCCGACTTTGACGAAGACGACCCTGTAATCAAAGCATGCTTTCAGTACACGATAACCTCACAATCAACAAGGTTAATGGAATGGGAATCACCAGGGTTTTGGAAGGACCTTAAGGAATATCTTGGGACCCTGAAGAAGCCAGAAGGAATGGACCCAGAGGATTTTCAGAAGTTAAGAAGAAAATCAGCCAATTTCTTTATCCAAGAAGGACGACTCATGCGACGACATACGCCCATGGCACAACTAGTCATCTCCAACATAACGTACCAAAGCAGACTATTAAGGAAGTTTCACAAAGATCTTGGCCACAGGGGACTTGAGGAAACATATCAACGCTTGGTTTGTCGATTTTGGTGGCCCAGCCTGAAAAAGAAGGTCAAGTTATGGGTGCAGAGTTGTGAACCTTGTCAAAAGAGGGATGCTCTAGTGCCCAGAGAAATTCGAAATCCAACTGGCGAAAGTAGTCTATTTGGACGGGTAGCGTTGGACGTTTGTCATATCAAGGCCGGACGATATAAATACCTGCTGGTGGCACGTGATGACTTATCTGGATGGGTAGAGGCAGCACCTTTGGTAAAATTATCTGCAGCTAATATCAGTAAACTTCTTTTGGAAGAATGGGTCTACAGATATGGTTCAATTAGGACTGTAACTGCTGACAATGGACCAGAATTTAAGAGTGAATTTATCGAAGCTGTGGAAAAGATTGGTGCCACTCTGCGACCACCGACACCATACTATCCTGAGGCAAACGGAATGATTGAACGAGGTCATCGGCCAATCAAAGATACACTGATCAAGATGTGTGGGGAATCCGGCGGAAAATGGAGAGAATATTTACCATTAGTACTTTTTTCTGACAGAATTTCAACAAAAAGATCAACTGGATACTCACCGTATGAGATTGTCTTTGGGAAGAAAGCGGTTTTACCAGTGGATATTGAGATGGACACCTATCTTGGAATTGACTGGACAGAAGTGAACACAACTGAAGAACTGCTTGAGGCTCGAACAAAGCAACTGGAACGAAGGGACGAGATCTTAACACTGGCCCATGAAAAACTAATGAAAACTCGAGAATCGTCAGTCAGATACTGGGACCGGCGAATGGCAGCAAGACTCAGGAATCCTCTGGACCCCGGAGAACTGGTTCTGGCTTACAATAAAAGTCTGGAAGACCAGTGGGGGAAACTTTTTGCTCACCGTTGGAATGGACCTTTTCGCATCAAGAAACAACTTCCTAAAGGCTCTTATATTCTAGAAGAACTGGACGGAGTGGAATTGAAAAGGGCTTATGCTGCCTCACACATCAAACGGTTTTACCCACGAGGACGTGACTTTCATGATATTCAAGACGATGAGGACCCGGACCAGGAAGATGCTTCAGAAGACGACTCGGAAGAACACTCCTCAGTGGCATCAGAATAATCGTACCTCCTGGGCATGAGACTAAACTGTTCACAACACACATCAAATTACAAAAATTTAGCTCGAAATTCTTTCAAAAATCAGGCAGATGATTAATTTTCTAAGTTGGGGGAGGACTCACATTCTTTTATACGTCACTCTTTACTACCACCCTCCTTCATATACCTCTTATTTACCTCACAACTTCAACACTTACACACTTCAATGAGACATCCTCTCATATTCTTACCTTTTGTCTATTTATTTTACCTTTCTCACTTGCACCACTATTAACCCTCCAACTTTGATGAACTTAAATCCTTACAAATTCTCACCCAAGACACTCCTTTTAATCCCCATCCTACCTTGAACTTAATTTACACACCACTTTTTGGCCCATTATCAACCATAAATCTCTTATTTTTCCTTACACCTTCAAAACTTACACACCCTTACCATACCATCCTTCCTTACTCTTGGATTTTTTTGGCCATTCTCACCTTCCTTAAGCCACCCACTCAACTTTCTGGAATCACTCAGTTAAAAGGTTGAGGACAACCTGCATAGTTGGGGGAGGGGTGATGCATTTCTATTGTTCACTATTTAAAATTTTCAGTTTTTTTTCTATAAAAAAGTGCTGGAAAGGGTTTGAACTACTTAACTAGCCTCTCCACAGACAGCAGGAAACACTCACCAAACACCTCGGCCGACTGTTGCTTTTTATTTGGTCGATCTAAAAATTATTCTTGTTGGAGGCTTCCTAATCGATCAAACGTTGCAGAAGACAACGATGGAAGTCGCGATTCCACTTCAATAGGCCTGGACCCTCTTGAGGCTAGATCGATACCACATGGACGTCGTTAAAACAAATTGTTACACAAAATCTGATGGGCAGGCGCAGTCTTCTTCACAGATTGGGTTGGATAGAAAGCTTGATCAATAACGGCTCTAAATCAGATCAAAGTCAAAACAATAGTTTGATCAGCATAATTGGGAGGTTGGATGACGGCCTTTGAGGTTTCTTATAGACGGTGTACAGCAACGACCGAGGATTGAAGGAAGTGAAAGCTCACCTGACTCTTGAGGACGACCTGCGCGACACACTGTACAGCACCCTGTGGTGGATCGACCTTAACAAATCGCCTTGCTTGATTCGGCTGCTGGAAGTATGATGAATGCAGACAGTCTTAGACACCTACATTCTGAATCGATGAGAAAGCCGATGTCAAATTGGAGAGATGTAAATCACCCGAAATCGATTGTTTTATAATCTAGACGGTGCACAGCACAGCCGAGGAGAAAGAAGAAAACGAAGCTCACCTGATTCTTGAAAGCGACCTCGCGACGCGCTACACCCCAACGCGGACTGATCCTGGCCAATCACCTTGATGGATTCGGCAGATGGAAGGAAAATGACGCGGTCTGACGAGTCCTGACCAATAGAAAAGCAGGACTCAGTGGTCATAGAATTTTTGAGAAGAAAAAAAAAAAAAAAAAAGACACTTACTTGTCGTCGATGCACGGAAGATCCGATCAAAGCCACTGGAAGAAGTCGGAAGCCGGACTCGGTCGAAGATGTCGGCGGTCTTAATCGGAATTGAAACCGGCACTGGCATGACAGGTACGGTGAGCAGAGCTCGGACAGGAACGAGGCACCCGCGCTCAGCGCTCTCGACTGCGGGCGCAGCCTTCTCTCAACCTCGCGCGACCCGAATGAAAACTAGACCCCCGAACAATCAGAAACCCTCTTGGGCCCCTCCCAAGGGGCTTTGCAGCTAAACCAGTCTACCCAGCGACTCTACGAAGACGGAGCGGTCATCAAGACGTCCAATGCTGCGCAGCTGCGCGCAGCGCGCAGCAAAATCAAAAATTTGTATGTAGAAAAAAAAAAAAAAAAAAATAAAAACACATAAAAAAAAATAAAAATAAAAATGCCCCCCACCTGTGCACTTTGGGCAAAAGGGGGGTACACAGGGACCCTGAGGCTGACATTCACAGGGGAACCCTGGCTCAGCGCTCTCGACTGCGGGCGCAGCCTTCTCTCAACCTCGCGCGACCCGAATGAAAACTAGACCCCCGAACAATCAGAAACCCTCTTGGGCCCCTCCCAAGGGGCTTTGCAGCTAAACCAGTCTACCCAGCGACTCTACGAAGACGGAGCGGTCATCAAGACGTCCAATGCTGCGCAGCTGCGCAGCTGCGCACAGCGCGCAGCAAAATCAAAAATTTGTATGTAGAAAAAAAAAAAAAAAAAAAAAAACACATAAAAAAAAATAAAAATAAAAATGCCCCCCACCTGTGCACTTTGGGCAAAAGGGGGGTACACAGGGACCCTGAGGCTGACATTCACAGGGGAACCCTGTTAAATCAGCTGTAAAAATTAAGTTTAAGTTTAAAAATCACAAATACGGCTACCCCAGCTTGGCTTCACTGCAAAGTTGGGGGAGGCTATCACACTCTTTTTCCAGCCACACTCATTTTTTTCCAGCTTTTCCTCCAAATACCCACTACCCTTTTCACTTCATTTCATGTTTAAAAATTAACTCTTTCTCTATTTTCTTCCCATTTTTTCCTGATAAATTGTCTGGGGACAGACAATAAGTTGGGGGAGGCTGTGGTAGTCAAAAATGTGAAAATTCAAAGTTTTTTCAATTTCTTTTTCTTATATATATATTTCTTCATATTATCACCCAATCACTCTCAGAATTAATAACATACGGCTCATGAACTGGACTCTACGGACAAATTCACCCTTGGTCACCACGGAGGCGTCACTGGAACACACCTTGATCAACTCTTACCCAACACTGGGACAACATATCACAAGGATTTCACCCATCATTACATATCACCAAACCCAATTACAACCCTCAAGCTACACAGACACCCTCAGTACAGTACACCCTCATTTACATATACACTCATTTACATACATCTACACTCTTTACATTTCACTTTTACATATTACATCATACCTGCAGCCTAAATTAGTGTATTTTCCTTGCATGACAGCTGCAGCTTACACCACCACACTCACTTGTAAACACATCAGAACCTGACCAATCAGAATCACTCATTCAGCTGCTTGGATCACCACTTCAACTCGTGTACATGTCTGACCAATCACATTCACTCATTCAAAATTTGTATGTAGCTAAAATGCCTCATGTAATAGCCCAGGCCAGCCAAAATCACTCATTACTGGCTGCCCTGGAGCTAAATTCCCTCACTGTTGTATATATAAGGAGGCTCTCCTCCCAGTTGTTTAATCCTCAGTCAAGTAACACTCAAGCAATATTTGACCACCTTCACACAAACACTTTAAAAGCGCCAACCAAACACCAAATCAACACTCTTCATCACACAACTCATTCCTGAACTTTACCCTATCACTTGATTAAAACTTGCCAAGCTAAGCTTGGTGGGTCTTGTTATCTGATAGTATAGAAGGGCAGAGCTTTCACTCCATCATCCCCTTCTCAATTCAGCAAAAAGGGCCTTACAACCACTTTTTGAGTCTTACACCGTCGAAGCGTAAGGAGGCCTGACGACGACCAGGAGGGTCTTGGTCTGGAGGAGCCTCCTCCGGCGCCGCCCAAGGTGTGGAGTCATTGGCTTTTCGAGTACCATCATCACTATTGCGTTGACTCGGAGATGGTGGGTGGTGCAAGTTGAATTGCAACACCAGGTAGGGATTGTTGGCGTTGATGCAAGCAGATTGGTTGTCAAAGATCCTTCCATTGATATTTTCGAGCTCGCTGAAGTTGTTGTTTTGGGATTGGAGATGGATTCCACAGAAGGAGATATTAGCCAGATCGAGATCATCATCCGACCAATTTTTCTTGAAGTAGATTGGCAAAAGTTGCTGAAAGGAGTCATGATGAAGATCATGATCGGCGGGACGATGGATAGCCGCGCCTCTGGCCAAGGCTTTGAAGATCAAGGCAGGAGAAGCAGGGGTTATAGTCGAGTCGGACTCGATGAAATGGTTCCAGTACATGATCCCTTCTGCAAGCAGTTTTTGCTTGTGAAGGGGATCGATCAAGCTTCCAAGAGCCACCTCGTTTGCCGGTAATCCGGTCAGAGTTTCCAAGAACTTGGCCACTAGAACGGGCTCGGGAAAGGAGTCGCGCTCCAGCACATCTCGGCCAGGATCGGTCACGGTTTTGTGCTTGGCAGCCTTCACATCAACGGTGGTTCTGTTGATGGCGCACAGCAGAATGATTCTACTGATAAATTCGCCAACATACCTCATATTGCTGTGATCTTGGGCCAGGACAACAGCGAGATGTCGGACACATGATATCAACACATGCTCGTGCTTCTGTAGATAGCTGTTGGCAGCTGCCGCGTAAATCGGCTGAGACGGATAAAAGCTAAATTGAGTGTTGTCGGCTAGGTCAAGGTAGCCGCAATGCGCCGCATGAGATGCCGTCAGTTCCACATTGAGATGCGCCTGGCCATGGAGCGGAACTCCGATAGTAGGTCCAAGCAACGCAATTGCCCGGGCTTCGGTGATGTTGAGATTGTCTGCGATGTCGTCGCAGCAGAGAAGTTTTGTGAAAGCAAATTTGATTAACAGGCTGACAACTGCAGCAGGGTCTGCCGTAGGGTCTTTTTGCAGCGCATCACGAAGATATATGCTGAAGAATGGAACACCGTATCGGCAGAGTCGATCTGGCGAGAACAACTTGTCCCATTTTTGGGGTGGATGAGGAAGGACCATTTGGTCGAAAGTGCGTAACTCGTAAATCGGCTTGTAGAGGTTCACGGATACTGCACGACTGCCAATAGCTCGTGAGTCGGGGTCTTCTTCGAGTGGCGGTTTGACATTGACAACAGAACAAGTTGTGTCGACTAGGATCGCGAAGACCCCAGTATGATCTGGTAGTAGTTTCAAAGCATGGCTGAACATGTGAAAGAGGGTGACATCTTCATGATCGGGTGGCGATCTCAGCAAAGCGTTGGCCTCGTCGATTGCTAGTAAGACCTTCAAGGGAGTGTGTTTCAGCAAGGGAGTCCTGCCGACTTCCTGAGCTGCGTGGCAGAGAAGGTAGTGAACAGAATGCGTGGGGTCTCGTGAGCTGAATCTTGATTCAACGTCCGAGTAAAAGTCCGTCTCAGTCGAACGATGGTACTCGTACCAATCCTTCAAAACTTCCTTTCGATCCTTGTTGGCTGGAGCTGATTTGAAAAAATCGACGGTGACCGATAAGATCTTTGCGATGAGGTTGGTGTAATACTTGATTAGGTATTGAGCGGGTAAGCCGGTTAGGATTTCAGTTGCCAGCTGAGATCGTCCGGGTTCATCGGTAGAGAACTTGGGACGCAGACAAATATGAACGACACAGACTTCTTTGGAGAGTTCCATGAGCAAGCGACTTTTACCGATCATCGTCGGACCGACTAGGGATGTGTAGGGCGCAAAGTAAGCATCAGATTGCCATGTTGATGCCCACTGGCCTAGAGTCCGCAAGATCGGAGTGACGATTTTATCGTGGCCAACATACTCCGAAGTATAGCCCTTTTGAATAATATCAGGGTCTAAAATTTTAGGCTTTATCGCATTCTGCAGGAGTAACTCTCCATCAGCCGTTGAGTTTTCGATTGCTTCAATCTTAGTGGGGGTATCGAGTCTTGGGTTTCCAAAAAAAGTGGGGAAACGTCTAAGGAAGACAAGCTGTGTCAGCCTGCTACTATTCAGAGACAACCTGACCCTAGCATAATAAATATTTAGAGACATTATTACATATACTACCCCCATAGCATATGTAATTAATGTCTATTTTATATGTACATAATATAGAGACATTATTACATATGTACATATAAAAACATTAATATTTAAATAAGTGGAATCACTATAATAGAGACATTATTACTCATTACATTAAGTTTTACTAGTCATGAAATAAAACATAAAAATAAACCAAAAAACATTTATAAATAAACATTTTTAACATGAATCTACAAATAACTTCTAAAACTTAAGCAAAAGTTAGAATATTATTTCAGATTCTTAATTTTCATGCAAAATAACCTAGGGTACCTCACCAGAAGTACCCCTGAATTATTACTCCTTCAGGTACTTCTGTGTACTCTGAGTGACACTTGCTCATTTTGCTAAAAACCCTCCCAGTTACATCATACTACATGTTGTGACAGGTCTACACATGTAATTAAGGTTCATGCAGTTCGGGAAAAATCTAAAAATAAGGTTGACATCATTGAAACCTTAACTACATTGTCACAACAACTGTAACTGGCTGGTCCAAAGCCATTTGTGGCCCTTTTTGGCCCAATTTGGCTAACTACGCCTGGTTAAGACCAGCCCACTGGTCATTAAAGGGTCCCAGTGACCAAACCATGGCTGCAGGTTCGTCACAGCACCCCTTAGTGTGTGTTACAAGCCTCACTTCAGCCCTCTGCCACCTGTAACCAAGGACTACAGGTGTCTAGGCAGTGCTACAGGTCACCAATGCCTAGTAGGAGGCTTGCACCAGCCAAACAGAGTTCTGAGTTCGCCTCCAAGGGCCCAGAATGAGTATATAAGGAGCCCTTCTTGCCCCCAAACTCTGATTCCCCATCTTCATCACCACTTACCAGCAATAACCACCTCCAACAACCAGTTTTTCACCTGTTTTTGGCCCAGTTCCTGCTGTTTCTGTCTTGGATATCACCAACCCAACCATCAACTGTTCCCCAGCACTCTTCCAACACCTGTTACCCAGTTTTCTGAGCGCTCCCAGACCAGTTTTCACCCACCTGAAGTCCCCTTGGCTTGGAAATAGTACTAAGTAGGTAATATTTCCTTGATACTTCAGTTGTAGGCATTTTGTCTGGGCATACTCCTTTACACAAAGGACCAGATCATCAGGTACATCAAAAAATACCCCTGTTTAACAGGTCCTGATTCATTGGAGGGCACCATAAAAACCCCTGTAACTCAGGCCCCTCCCTTTATAAAAACTTAACAGTTTTTATTATCTCTTTTCTTAATATCAAACACCTCCCATTTCAAGTGTTACCCACACTTGTACACATTTTTTCTTAGCTTTGCACCTGGTGTAGCTAGAAGAGTCAAGCTCTTGGCATCACCCAGGCTGACAATTGGGGGTCTGGCCGGGAAAACCTTTTATCTCTTGATAAAAACCTGGTACTATTTTTTCTTTAAAAAATAAAACAAAAACAAATACAAAAAATTATATTTTTTACTCCTTCCTCTTGAATTTTTTCTACAAAAATCAAACCCTCTAAAACATCTTATAAAAAGCTTAAAAACAATCCTAAAAAACATTTTTCTTACTAGCTTTTTTCTTTACCTTTTTCCTTAGAGTGGAATTACAAGAAACCTCGAGACTAATCAAATATTACCTTGAACTTCTTGCCTCCGAAAAAGCACAGCGCGCAGCCTCTTATCAACCTACTCCCTGGGAATTACTCTCTCCTCAAGAACAACGCGCTCGCGCCCTTGCACGCATCCAACTTAACGAAGAGAAAAGAATTGACAATCTGTTTGCCTTTAACTCCCTCAAACGCCAACATAAACAAACCCGTCGCGAACTTTTAGCAGAATTAAGATCCAAAAGACTAGCGAAAAGTACGTGCTTACGTCTTGTCACCCCCACTCCTTCTTCTTTGAAAGTCCTTTTTGCTAACAAAAGAAACCACTGCGCTTGATTCCGTTGACAGTGTCTACCACTTCTAGCTCCAGCGCGCACTACCCCAGCTGCTCAAACCGCGTTCACAGCCCATCTCAGGTAATAGCTACCTGATTACTTTCTTCTCGACGATAAAATACTAGGAATTTAATCCTTTTTCCTTTTATTTTTTTCTCTTCCGGGGACAAACCAACATGTCTACTAGGTCCAACAACCCCAATCTGCACGGACCTCTCCCTCCAGCGACCCGACCTCGCCGTAGCAAGTCAGCTGGAGGAACGGGTGAACCGTTTGAGATTGATAACAATTCAAAAGAAACTAGCGCCGATAGCCACCAAGGCGACGGCGACATTGGCTCGCAACGGCTCAGCCCAGATAACCAACCCTGCGATGACCGTAGCGGAAAAAACCGCAGTCCCAGCGACAACTCTCGCGACCAATGCCCCAGACTCCATGGACTTGGATCCGTTGGCGCTAAAAACGCCAGTCCCGAGAATGGATCCAGCGACCATAGCTTCGGAAGCGATGGACGTGGATCCCGTAGCTTCAACCTCTTCGGTGGATATCCAGCTACTCCGCAAGTTGCCGGAGAAGCAGGTGTTATCCAAAGAAGACAGGATCAAACACCTGGTGAGAGAACATATACACCTTTGGAAGAGGTGCACAGTAGCCCAACAGTCCGGCGCGATGGAAGATCTCAAAATACTTCTCCATCAAGCGCAGGACAGTCAAAAAGTTCTACAGAAGCTAATTCCCCGCGAGGAATTGGAAGAGTTCGTCAAGGGCTGGAACCCTTGGACGATCAAGAAAGAATTATTTCCCACCGCGCCGAAGAACAACGACGGCAAGAAGCGCTCCTCCTCCTCCAAAGGAGCGAAGGAACGTTACAACGACCCGAAACGTTGGAAAATGGTCATGAGGGGCTGCAACACCCTCGAGGCAGCATACCGCCACATGGCGGACTAGACCTGAAGATCCTTACAGCTATTTTGGATAGCTTAGAACTTGTTAGTAAAAACCTTTCGGCTATCGATAGCAACGCCGAAGAGAATTTTAAGACCATTGTACATAGCTTAGATCTTGTTTCGCGCAATAACAAAAAGAACGCTACCTCTTTGTCCGTTCAATTTGATAACATCTTAAGAAATCCGTTGTCTATTAACCCTGAGATGACTAAAATCATCGCTGAGAACACAGCTAAATGCGAGAAGGCGTGCTCTAAGCTAACCGCGTCTGTTGACAAACTCAACAATGACTTGAGTACCTCCGCCGACCACATTATATCTACCATCAGAGAAGATGATGTCGTAGAGAACGCGAAGAAAAAGGAAGAAGTAGATGTCATAAAAGACTTACTAATCCAACAAAATATCAGATCAGAGGGTTTAAGCAGCCTTTTTAAAGAACAAATTTCTCTGCTTAGAAAAGACATGAAAGCTGAAATAAAATCTAGTGTTCAAGCCTCCTTAGCGCAATATATTTTTCAAAATAATACTGCGCCTATCATTAATCAACCTGATAGCAGTGCTCATCCGCGCCTAGATCAACAAACACAAGCGTACTTTAACAATCCTTACATGGAGGAGATGCCCAGAGACCCCGCGCCTCACGTTAACAGGTCTCAAACTAGCGCTGTGCCGCAGCAAAATAGGAATTCTCCGCCCCATTTAAGTAATCATACTTATTCCGCGCCACCACAGTCCCAACATAATGCCAATAGAGTTCCATCCAAATATTACAACATGGATTTGGCCACTTTAAATAAGCTAGTCCCTCCTGTTACAGATTGGCCTAAATTTGCCGGGTCAGATGACTATGACCACATAAGTTTTATTAAATACATTGACCACATGTTGTTGTCTTACAGTGCAGATGATGAGTTTGTCCTCAGTAGACTTCCAAGGTTATTCACGGGAGTAGCTCTTGAGTGGTTCATAGAAAAACAAGAATCTGTTGGAAAACAATCTTGGGACACGTGGAAAAAATTAATCAAAGCTCACTTTGGTACCAGATTATGGGAGCAGAAAATCAGGAGAGCCTTTGAGAGTGATTACTTTGATCCCACAAAAGACAAACCTCACAAATGGTGTCTCACGCAAAAAAAGAGGATTGATTGTATGTACAAAAATCCTACCCAACTGGACATTAATGATAAATTGCTTGATCAATGTAAGGGAAATCTAGAACACCAAATGAGATGTAGACTTCCAAACATGGACACTGATTTATCCACATTTATTAATGTTATGGAGGAAGTCATTGAAATGACTGGTGCCAACAGAAGACACAGGGAAAATTATTCAGACAGAAGGGAAGTAACTTCAAAGAATCCTGCTCCTAAGGAAAAAGAAGGCAAACCTGCTGAAATTGCCCCTAAAAAAGCTGTCATACCTGAATGCTACAACTGCGGGGAAAAAGGACACAAGAGACCTGATTGCCCCAATCCCAGAAAAAGGATAAATAATGTCAACATTGAGCCTGACAGTGAGGAAGAAACCTCTTCCAGGTTTGAGATGGTACAAGTGGAACCTGAAGACTCAGATTTCCACCAAAATCATCACCAATCTGAGAAATCAGAGTACAGATTCCAAGTTATATCAGCAGATATTGGAGATGAGTTTGAAATTAATGCCATCCACGGTGAGTCAAATTTGCCTCAGAAATGGGATTCCACAATGGAAGTGGGCCACATTTCTGACGCCAAACTTTTGTCCAACAAACCTGAGATAGGTATGAGCTACACTATGGGAAAAACCAGTTACACTACGGTCATGTTCCAAGGTAAAGAATGGAAAGCTTTGCTTGACATTGGAGCTTTCTGCTCATGCACTAGTAGTGATTTCCTTGATACTTGTTACCCTGAATGGAAAAATTACTTGCTACCAGTGCCTAAAGCCAAGTTCAGCAGTTGTAATTCCTCCATGAAACCCCTTGGTGTAATTAGTATGCCCCTAATATTCCCTCACTCCAAAGGATCTTTAAGACTCAATGTTGAATTTGTTGTTTTGCAAGATGCTTTATGTGAATATTTTATTTTGGGAAATGACACTTTCTGCTTGTATGGAATAGATATTTTTCAGAGCAAAAATAGATACTATACCATTGGTGGAGACTGGAAAAGGAAATTCCAGATTTGTAATGTGAACATTAAAATATCTGAGCCAATCAAAGAAGTATCTTGCCTGACAAAAGAACTTATTGAGTTTGATAAAGAGTATCTGTCACAAGCAGCTGTAAGTGATATACTAACCCAAGAGCAGAAAAAAGATGTCTTAAAAATATGCTACAAGTACAAAGAGGCTTTCTGCACAACAGAAGAACCCATTGGAAATGTCAAAGGACATGACATCAAGTTAGAATTGACCTGTCAACCTCCGTACCCTCCAGCCCTCAGGAGAGCTGCTTATCCATCTAGCCCAAAGTCCAGAGTAGCTTTAGAGACTCACATAAAAGAGCTATTGGACCTCAAAGTTATAAGAAAAGTAGGCCATAATGAGCAGGTAGAAATTACTACTCCTGTAATTATTGCATGGCATAATGAGAAGTCCAGGATGGTTGGAGATTTTAGAGCTTTGAACAATTACACCAAAGCTGATAATTATCCCATTCCTAGGATTGACCACTCTTTGCATAATTTGTCTAAAGCAAAATATATTACCACTATGGATGTGCTTAAAGGATTCCATCAAATACCTATTGAGCCAAATAGCAGACAATTTATGTGCATTATATGCCATTTAGGTGTTTATGAGTACCTCAGAATGCCTTTTGGAATTAAAAATGCACCATCCCATTTTCAAAGGATGATGGACTCTATATTTGGGAGCTTTATCCGTCAAAATTGGATGATGGTTTACATAGATGACATTATCATTTATTCTAATGATTGGGCCACACATCTGGAAAAAATTACTTCTGTGCTTGAAATGGCGGTGAAATCTGGCCTCAAAATGTCCATTAAAAAATGTAATTTTGGTTATGGAGAGCTTAAAGCATTGGGACGCATAGTTTCAGGTTTAACCTTGGCCATAGATCAGCACAGAGTAGCAGCTGTCTTGTTAAAACCCATGCCCCAGAATATTACAGAAATGCAATCATTTCTAGGCTTTTGTAGCTACTATAGGCAACATATCCCCAAATTTGCCAATATTACCCATAGTCTTTATGAAATTTGTAGTAAAGATGTAATATATGAGATGACATATTCCCGTGTCCAGGATTATGAGCAATTAAAACACCTTATGACCACTGCTCCTGTTCTGGCCCAACCAGATTATACCAAACCATTTATTTTATACATAGATGCTTGTTTGGATGGTTTAGGTGCAGCTTTGCATCAAGAATTTGAGATTGATGATATTCCAACTGAAAAACCAGTATTGTTTATCTCTAGGCAAATCAAGTCAAGTGAGAGGAAATATGGAGCAAGCCAAATGGAGTGTTTAGCATTAGTCTGGTCACTTGAAAAATTGCATTACTACCTTGAGGGCACAAAAGTTGTAGTAGTCACTGATTGCACAGCAGTTAAAACTCTCATGAATATGAAAACACCTAACAGACATATGCTCAGGTGGCAAATTGCTATTCAACAGTACAGAGGACATATGACAATTGTTCATAAAGCTGGCATTAAACACAGAAACGCAGATGGACTTAGTAGATGGGCTTTACCCAACACACCTGATAACCCAGCCTGGGATCCAGAAGATGAGGATATTTTTCCCATTTTGGGAATCCACGTGTGTGATTTGGATGTAGCTTTCTACAAACTAGTCCAGGACAGCTATAAGGATAATATTGAATTGTTAAAATTGGTTGACATCCTGAGCAATGAAAATAGTTCCCCCGAGTTAATTGCTAGCCTGCCCCCTAATTTGGCAAAACCTTATTCTGAAGGAAAATTCACCTTATTGGATGGATTACTGTACTACAGAAATAGACACTCTAGTGTTTTAGTACTCTGTGACCAGGCACAAATTGACAACATTCTTTATGAATGTCATGACAATGTCAATTCTGGCCACTTTTCTGAAGATAGAACAGTAGAAAGGATAAAACATACTGCCTGGTGGCTAGACTGGAGATCCCAAGTCACCAATTATGTCAAGTCTTGTGAAATTTGTCAAAAATCAAATAAACAAACAGGAAAAAGATATGGGTTACTCCAGAAAATTGCAGAGCCCAGTACTAAGTGGGAAATAATTAACATGGACTTTGTCACAGGACTGCCTCCTGGAGGAGCTTACTCTTACAACTCTGTTCTAGTAGTAGTGGACAGGTACTCCAAAAGAGCCAGGTTTATCCCAAACCATAAGGATGACACTGCAATGGAAGTAGCCATGTTATTCTGGAACAGAATAATGGCTGACGTAGGAATTCCCAAGATTATCATCAGTGATAGAGATCCTAAATTTACCTCAGAATTTTGGAGAAACCTTCATGACATGCTTGGTACTAAATTAGCTTTTTCCACAGCCTACCACCCCCAGACTGATGGCCTGGCTGAAAGGATGATTCAGACCTTAGAAGATATGCTCAGAAGATTCTGCTCATTTGGTTTAGAATTTAAGAACCATGATGGCTATACTCATGATTGGGTCAGCTTGTTGCCTGCTCTTGAAATTGCATATAACAGCAGCAAACATTCTTCCTCAAATGAAGTACCTTATGTCCTTGAGAGAGGTTGGATCCCAAGAATGCCAAAAGATACTCTTAATGATAAATTACCACATATACACCCAACAGCTTTAGACTTTAAAAATGTTGTATGGGTGTGCAAACTCCACATTTGGAGTATGAAGAAGACAAGAGGGGGAACGGGGGGAAGCAATGAACACCAGGCATTTCCAACTACAACAGATTAAGAGTACGCTGCTCTACCCAACGACTAGCCGACACATCGAATGGTACATACCCGACGTTCGACAAAAGATACTCTCTTTGGCCCACTACCTCCTCCAACTCGA